AAACTAATAAAGTGTGTAAAATATCAATAACTTAGTATGAAATAAATAAATCCGCCAAGTTTGATCAAAATATATCCATAAACAAGCCAACTAAAAAATTGTACAATATTCTTCATAAGAATAACATGGCAATATTAAATTAAAAATTTTTGGAATTTTCTTCGTAATCAATAACGGTCTTGTTCGAAAACCAAGATTCTTCTAGAGTTAGAGTTAGGTTATTTATTACTCATGAGACCATGGTACCAGCCACTGATAGGTCAAGAGAAAGATCTCCCCGTCACCAAACATTGTGTACACTATGAGTATTATGCTAAAATATCATAGAAGCAATCGCTTACTTCTTCAGATACTACGATCACTTTTGGTATTGGCAATGCAAAGGCATTCAACAGCAACAATCGCAGTATATGGAGCGGAGCAGGTGGAAGCGGTCCAAAATGTGGGCCAGGTCCAAATTCACCAAAATTTTTGGGGTCGTTTATAATAAACGTCTCGTCTCGGCGAGAGTGTACTGTAACCTAACCTAACCTAACCTAACCTAACCTAACCAAACCTAACCTAACCTAACCTAACCTAACCTAACCTAACCTAACCTAAAGCTGCATGAAACAATCACAGCTTAAACAGTACTATTAGGGCTAAGCAGTACACTCTCGCCGAGACGAGACTGAGCAGGCGAGGGCAAACTATTCGGAATTCCTTCCCCGCCCGCCGGGAGAAATATCGTACCTGCTCCAGGTAGAAAGTTGGTGAATTTGGACATTAGAAACGACCCCAAAAATGTTGGTGAATTTGGACGTAGCCCAAAAGGCCCGAGTTATGAAAGGCCACATTCCCCGCCACAATTAGTATACGAATGTGTTATCTTTGTTTCCCTTGTCCGTGGTGACGTAGCCTCCGCTGCCGCTGCCGAATGTGCCACTCTTTCCTACACATTTTCTCTCTCCTCTCGAGGTTGAATTTATAGTGGCGCTTTAATGTAATCACTAATCAGCCAACATTTTCATGAGTTGTCAACCTAATTTTTTTCTTGATATTTAAGTTCTAGAATGGTAAATTAGGTTATAGTATGATAAGTGGCAAGGTACAAGTTTGATTGGGTAGTATGTTTTTTGAATTGCTTAATAATGTGCCTTTTAGTTGAGTATGAATACAGTATACTGCCATCAGCCAGAGGGGAGTGACGTTATCTATAGAGACCCTATAGGTAGAGTGTGGGTCTTAGCTCCTCAAGGTCTAGAGTGAGTTCAAATTAAACAAATTACCAATGTATTTTAGCAATGTGATAACTCCACAACAACCGCTTTGGGCTAGAGTCTGCAATGATTTAAAATTAAAGATCGGACATAAAAATAAATAACTCAGCTAGTTATTTTTTTTTATATTTACGGACTGTTCTAATATTCGTGCAGTATTTAATATGTTTGAACCTAGTAACTGTTTGACAGTAGTTCTGTTAAACTTTGTAGGTTTGTTCTTTGTTACCATGGAGACCAATCAATAGTATTTACTTTTAAACTCCCAGAACTTTTACGCCCGCGGGGCAGAGTCCTAGGTCAATATCGAAGCGGGAATAGTTCTATATGTATCCTCCAAGCTGTAGTTTATTTTAGTCAAATTTGAGCACAGTTGGTTCAGTAGTTTGATCTCATACAAACTCACACACAGACAGACACCACCTCTTCTTTATAATAGCATAGATAAACATATAATAGTATACAGATAAATGGTTCAGTGATTATATTAATTACGTTTATAAGCATAACAAAATCATTCGTATAATTTACTACAGTACATTTATAAGATAAACACCCATTTCAAAGCCTCCAAGAATAATTTAGCAAGTTTAATAGTTACGTTTTACATATAACTCGCGAACTACGTTACGTATTCATCCTGTAAACGGAGGAAGGTGAATCCGTGAATTTTAACAGATAAACCTGTCCCGAGTGGATAACATGGCGCGTGAGAGGAAAACACTTTAAGTTTTCCGATTGTAGAACGCTTTCATAAATACAATCTCACTTTATATAAAACTAAAACTTGGTTTTCAAAGTGATTAAGGTTAGGATAAAATTTAACTAACTGTTTCAATCGTGCAGTGTTTACACATTGTTGAACAGCTGTTTAATTTAATATTGCTTGAGCCATAAACATAACCTTATCAAGTGCAGTTTTACTAAGGTCAAAAGGATCAATATCCCACGCACAACACTTTTAGGTGCTTTTAGTTTCAAAAACATTCACAGAATTTCAGTTTCAGTAAAACTGCATTTGTCAAGTTTATGGCAGTACTTTTCAATCCCATAGGTGTTTTACAAGAAAATTTAATGCAGTACTAAATCAGGTAATAACTGGAGAAGTGGAAAGTAATCTAAATTATAACACTTAAGTCAGTAAAGTTTTCAATATGTGCCTTTGCCATCTTGGTTAGGAGATTGAAATTTTCTTAAAATATTTTCTAACCATTTTTAAGAAATCTAGTTAGTTTCAAAACTGTCAGCGCATAAAACCGATTGTACAAATATCTACGTGGGTCACACTCTGTAATATCTTTTGTCAAAAACAACCAAGAAAAAATTGTTACAAGAAATTACAACAAGAAATATTCTAGAAAACAAATTGGCTAAACATTATAACATTATACAAAATCAATATTCAATTTATAATCTGAATACACTACCTACTAAACCTACGCCACCTACTATCTTAATATACTAATTTGCATTATTGATAATAATTGTGATCGTATCTACTGTAGTTTATAATCGATTTAGAGATGAAGACTAATTCAGTAAGAAACAAACATGGTAATGCTGATTTATCCCTGTGTTGGTTTAGCAGCTCGACTTAGGGATATGTGTTTAATTAGTTGCACAAACATTGAGTTGCAAATAGAACCCAGACTGATGCGAGTTCTTGGAACAACTTTGGTTCGTGTGTTGGGACCGTATTATAAAACGTAATACGTATTACTGTATGTACCATGAAAAATAATTAAATATACCATGATTAAATAATTATTTAAATAATATTTAAATATTAAATATTATTTAATGGTAATGGCATGGTATATTTAAATAATTAAATATACCATGATAAACATTCGCTTTCTCCACTCACTTATACTATATGAACATATATATACAGGGTGTCCCACGAATAGTTTAGACGTTTGATTCTATATTAGCCCATTTATGCACATCGAAAGCTTTGAAGTGTTGAAATTATTTTGTAAAAATTTCAGTTACATAATGTTTGTCGAATCACATTGCTGGAATTACATTTTTTTCAATTTTCTTCGTTTAAGAATTACTTTCTTATATTATTATCTGATTTGTTTGCTGCAGTATTGTCACTATTGTTGAACTGCTGTTTGATTGACGAAATTCTTTAACTGTTTCTGTGACGTCCGAAAAAATATTCCATGAACAACTCTTAGATTTAGCCATTAAAAGTCATTCTTTGGAACTTTATATTAATCAAAACTGCCATTGAGAAGGTTAGAAATGGTTCAAGAAATATTCGTCAATCAAACAGCTGTTCAACATTAAGTGTAAAAACTGCAATGCACTAAACAAATCAGACAATACCTTAAGAAAGTATTTATTAATAGGAAGCAAATTGGTAAAGCTTACCAGGCGAGTAACTTACGATACTGTACATCATACTACACAGGTGCTTTTTCAGCCGTATTGATAGGCTGGAAAGTTGCCCTTTGCCATGCCTACACACGGAAAAGTAACGGTTAAACGGTATGTACTTTAACCTAGAATATAGGTAGTGTCCCTGTCCATAGATGATATAGATCATTTAACAATTTGGTCCATGTATAATTTAAAGAAGAGTAGACTTCATGCAATGAATTTAGGTAGATGGCTTGCAAACGCTAAGTGCTTACAGTACTTTATTTATCACAAACATTTTTTTTTGTTGAATCTGAATTAAATGTAATTTGGGGTAGACACAGAGCAAAGTTTTGAGTTGTTTAAAATTTAAATTATGAGACGTGTGTTGCCCTAGCTTATAAGTTTTAGAGGAGGGCTTTTATTAAAATCTCGTTTTAATCTGTGCAAAGTTGTATTAAACAGAGACTTTTTGACAGTTTGTTAATATATCAAAAGTTCTTGCCTTGTTGCACAGTATAGGGCCTAACATTACACGCAACATGTATAACAAAATAAAAATAATATACCTACCGTTTTACAAATCCAGTTTTCGGTTACAATTCCAGGTTATGTATATAATTGAATTAATTTATAATAGTGGTTTTTGTTATTCATTGTCTGTTTTGTAAACCAACTTGGCGTAAAATGTCAAATAAGCATTCCAATCTGCATTGGTATCAGTGATTACATACTAGAAGAAAATAACACAATTTAAGTAATTTTAATCAAAGATTGGCTTGCAACACGCCCGAGTAAAATAAATTGCAAATGCTATTAATATAAGTTGATCGTGTAAGCACGTTACCATGTAAAATAAGACATTATATTCATTTTTTTCCACAGACTTGATTGTCATTTCTGAGCTTTCAATATCAATGTTCTCTGTGATTTATGTCGTACTTGAATAATCAAAATTTCTAACATTATGTAATATTTTGATATCGATATTTGTTTTAATCGATTTGCCCATAATTTGTTTTTATAAATATTTAAGAACGTAATGTAGATTAACTTGACTAATAATTTTTTAGCAATTTATTTTATTGAAGTATGACAAACATAGTCATCAGAACCATCTTAAATTAATTATATTTTTTGATCGTAAATAGCTTATAACTGACAATCTTTAAAGGGTTGTCACAAAACTTATACGAAAATTTACCGTGAATGCATTTAAAAACATCTAAATTATTATAAACAAAATGACAATTGCAATAAATTATCATAAAGATACAAAAATAAAATACGTCCATAAAATACGACCATTTAACCACGTAATCGATGTCCCGTGCGGGGTTCTCAAAAATTACCAAATTGAGTCAGGCCTACCTGTTGTTTAAGCGGACCAACTTCGGTCAAATCCGGAATCCAAAATCAACAGGAGAGCCGAAACTAGGGTCAAGGGGGCCGGGGGCAATTCAAAAACCACCTGACACGATAAAACTTACAACCGCGAACATTGTCCGAGTTATGATAAAATCAAACGAGGTAACGTTGATGACGACAACGAGAATCGGGCTCGACTGCCACCCCCGATCAATAGAGGCCTCGCCGCCCCTCGCCGCCTCTTGCCGCCTCCACTCGCCGCCCCTCGCAGACAACATGCATAGACACACTAGATACGATAAACAATGTTACATATAATTGCAATTGCACCTTGTGCACTTATGCTTTGTAACTCTGATACACATTTGGTCCCGTTACATTAGTACAGTGAAGTCATGCTTTAGTCTTGGGTCCATTTTAGTGTCGATTACTTTGAATTCTCAAACCAACGTTGAAAAATTGACGTTTTTAAACTCCAAGTTAATTTTTTAGCTAGAAAATTAGCTACAAAATTAGTTAGAAAACTAGTTAGAACTGGTTTAGAAAATTAGTTGGATTTTTAGTAGAAATTTAGCTTGGTAAAACTAGCGGAAACTGAACCTTTTTTGGAATTTCAAAGATGTTTCCAGATAATTCTTTGAGTTCGAAAATCGTAGTGGTTTTACTGATTCCAAAATTCAAAAAAGCAAGGAAATAAATTACTGTACCCTAAATTGTGGACACATTACATAACCTTTTTCAGGAATTTTTATTTTCAATAGTGATTTTTTATAGCCTACGTAGGCTACCCATAAAACAACGGGAAAATCGATTTTCACAAACTACGGTTTGAATGATTTTGATCTCAATTTAGTATGTTGTGGTACTCTTGTCAATAAATAAAATGGTTACCTCAAATGCTGTAAACAAAAGTTATTGAAGTGTTTGTGATTTTACCCATAAAATATCAATACAGTAGTTACTCCCACTTTTAGATTCTTCTTGCTATGCAGGAGTTTGGACATTTCTGATGATTGTAGAAAAACTATTCGTTTAGGCTTACACGTTAGTTGTTTTTTGTCCGGTTCATGACGTCACTGATTTGAGCTCTACCTTAAACAAGAAGATACGACGTTTTTTTGATAATTCACAATATTATGTTTTCATCCGTTCTTTTCAAACCCTTTTACACTTTTATTCGGAAATTGCGTTTGAGAATTATTAACTTGTACTAATCAACAAAATATCAAAAGTAGATTAGATTAGTCAGTTCATGTAGTTGGGAAGATTACGTGCCGGAAGCGACCGTGCCAGAAGCGACCCAGCAAAAATCGTGCCAGAAGCGACCCTGGTAGTAGTGTGAGTGCCACTAGCGACCCATTGTTTGATAATGGATTTTACAATGTTTAGTTCAAATCGGTGTTAATGGCTTATAAACAAATCCTATTCTTGTTATAGTAATATGTACCAACTGGAAGAGCCCAATATTCACCTAAAGAGCTGTTTTAGCATCTCTAGTTCCCAGCTGCTAGCATAGACTCAAGTTATGTGTGGTAACTTAATCAAACAATATTTCTTGAATTTTTATCACTTTATAAGAGCCAATACAATCAATTAACTTATCTTTTCTTTATTTTTAAATTCATTATCTAAATATGTAAATATGAGATGGTGGATGTGTGATTGTATACTACTTAATCGCACGGGAACCACTCAAAAGATCTAAATAAAACTTCACATGGAGATAGTTTATCAAATGTAATCAAATAATGTTGATTTCAGTAAGTAAAATACTATGTTACAATACTTTGTTAGTACAAATTTTATAATTATGCCATAGTTATGTAATAATATACTGTCATAGTCATTAAATATGAAATCCCTCTCACATAGGCTACTGCCCGTGCGTAAGAAATTTCCTCTATCAGTAAATAAATAATCTAAATTGAAAAACATATAGATATTTATAAAACATAACATGACAGTTAATTGGTGATAATTTGATATAAATATTAAATACCCCCGCCGCAGCAAACCTGCAGACTAAGCGAATTTCCATTTCCCTGAATGGATTTACACTAAAATGTCTCCTTAAAATTATCACATTTATTCCCTATTTAAATAGAATCAGTTTAAAACATACTTAGGTTTGCTGCAACAGGGAGGGTAAAAGTGTTTTTTATGTAAAATGTTAATAGTTAGTAAGAAATAAAAACATTTTCCAAATTTGGGCAAAATATGTTTATAAACAAGCAAACTACAACAGTTTACTTATTCTCCATAAGAATAACATGGGAATTTTAAATTTACAATTTTTTGGAATTTTCTCCGTAACCATTAGGCGCATTATAACGCTTCAATATACTAAATTATTTGTTTTTTTAAGCTCTACAAAATAGTTTCGAAAGAAATTGCAAAATTTTATGTTTTTTGGGTCAAAAATGGGAAAAACCCATTTTTACCCCATAACAGCCCCCATAAACCCCCGTTCCCATGGTCCGATCATGCTGGTTCGCGAACTCGTTCGAATAAACGTAGGTTTACACGTTTGTACCAAATTTCATCAAAATCGGATCATTTTTGCTCGAGTTATCGCGCTAACGGACACTTATATATATATATATATATAAATATATATCTAAATTATATACAGCCGCATATGTAACTCACTGGGGGATACAAATTCTAGCCCACTTCTAGATGAGCTAGAGACTTGAAATTTTCGGTGTTTTGTAGGTCTAGTGCCCAAACCCCCGGGAAAATTCCAAAAAGTGACATTTTTAAATTTTAACCCCCCCGAAATTAAGGGTTTCCCCCCCATGTTATTCTTATGGGGAATAACATTAAAAATGTCCGACTTTGGTGTGCCCATCCGAACGGTTTAGAAACGTGCTAGAGACTTGAAATTTGCGTAGTATTGTACTATGGGATCTTAAATTAACGGTGAATTTTACAAAAGTCCCATTTTCAAATTTTAACCAACCCAAAAATCCAAAATGGCGGACCTCTGAAAACGACAAAACACGTTTTTTCCAACCGGATGTAGCTCGAAAACGGTAAGAGATAGAAAAGATTTGAAAGTATATCCAGGAACAGGAATTAAATTTTATACAAAACCCTCCTCGGCGTTTTCCAAAAATCGGACTCCTTCAGCTTAAAAAAACGGCCTACTTTCAAAATTTTGTAAATTTCATTCACATTTATTACGGTTTTCGCTATTTTTTCATATTTAAATAATTTCTTTTTGCAGATATTATTAATGTTCTGTATTCTTCTTACTTTACTTTATATTTTACTCATTTAATGTCTTTTTGTATCTTTACTCCTTAACCCCCAAAACTTAGGTTTAATGTCAAAATTTAAAGGTTTTTTACAACTTTTACAAGCCCCATGTTATTCTTATGGAGAATAACATTGAAAAATGCCGACTTTAGTATGCTCATCTGAACCACTAAGAAACGTGCTAAAGACTTGAAACTTGGTAGTATTGTAGTATGGGATCTTACATTACCGGTAAAATTCCCAAAAGTCCCATTTTCAAATTTTAACCCCCCCCAAAAATCCAAAATGGCGGACCTCTGAAAACGAAAAAACACTTTTTTTCAACCGGATGTAGCTCGAAAACGGTAAGAGCTAGAAAATATTTGAAAGGATCTTAGCGAAAGGAAATTAAATTTTCTACTAAACCCTCTTGGGCGTTTTCCGGAAATCGCACTCCTTAACCTTCAAAAAACGCCCTACTTTCAAAATTTAGTAAATTTCTTTGACATTTTTTACGGTTTTCGCTATTTTTTCATACTTAAATAATTCTTTTTTGCAGATATTATTAGTGCTCTGTGTTCCCCTTAATTTACTTTAAATTTTACTCTCTTAATGTTTTTTTGTATCCTCACTACTTAACCCCCAAAACTTAGGTTTAATGTCAAAATTTAAAGGTTTTTTACCACTTTTACAAAGAAAATGGTAGACTTTGGTGTGCTCATCTGAACCGTTTAGAAACGTGCTAGAGACTTGAAACTTGGTATTATTGTAGTAGGGGATCTTATATTAATGATGAAATTTGCAAAAGTCCCATTTTCAAATTTTAACCCCGCCAAAAATCCAAAATGGCGGACCTCTGAAAACGATAAAACAAGTTTTTTTTTCAAACGGATATAGCTCGAAAACAGTAAGAGCTAGAATAGATTTGAAAGGATCTTAGCGAAAGGAAATTAAACTTTCTACTGAACCCTTTCAAGCGTTTTCCAAAAATCGCGCTCCTTAAGCTTCAAAAAACGCCCTAATTTTATAATTTTGTAAATTTTTTTAAATTTTTACCGGTTTTCGCGATTTTTCATACTTAAACAATTCCTTTTTGCAAATATTATTATTGCTTTGTGTTCTCCTTACTTTACTTTAAATTTTACACATTACATGTTATTTCGTAACTTTACTCCTTGACCCAAAATACTTAAGTTTTTACCACTTTTACGAGCCCAATATTATTCTTATGCAGAATAAGATTGAAATTTGATGACTTTCGTATGGTCAAATGAATCGTTTAGAAATGTGCTAGAGACTTGAAATTTGTTAGTATTCTAGTAATGGATCCCAAGTTAATGGTGAAATTTGCAAAAGTCCAATTTTTAAATTTTAACACACCCAAAAATCCAAAATGGCGGACCTCTGAAAACGACAAAACACGTTTTTTTCAATCGGCTATAGTTCGAAAACTGTAAGAGCTAGAAAAGATTTGAAAGATTTTTCATGAACAGGAGTTAAATTTTCTACAAAACCTTTGTGGGCGTTACCCGAAAATCGCACTCCTTCAGCTTCAAAAAACGCCCTACTTTCAAAATTTAGTAAATTTCTATAAAATTTTTACCGGTTTTCGCAATTTTTTTATACTTGAATAATTTATTTTTGCAAATATTATTATTGCTTTTCCCTTACTTTGCTTTAAATTTTACTATTACATTTTAAATTTTACTATTACATTTTTCTCGTAACTTTACTCCTTGACCCCCAAAACTACGAGCCCAATGTTATTATTATGGAGAATAACATTGAAATTTAATCAATCAATCAATCAATCAAAATATCTTTATTTCATAATATGCAAACATATAGTTACATGAAATAGAGTCATGGGAACTAAAACTAAGTGAGATGGTTATTCAAAAAATACATAAGGTTAAATTGTATTCTAAATTAAATCTGGTTTACTTA